CTGCGTAGAACTTTTGAGGGTACAAGGTGTAGTTTGGATCAACACACATGCCATGTGCAACTTTGCAGACCACGCTCATAAATCCTCCTGTCCTGTGTACGTGCATGCGAGTATGTTGACATCAACAGGACAGCCACATTTGCGTTTTCAGACACGATTTTTTTCCCTCAGAAACTCAGATGAAACGATGATCATCAAATTGACGCCAAGTTTCCCCCCTTTTTTTTGAAAAAAAAAGAACAGCCTGAGCCGCCAGTGCTGACTGCCAGAGAAAACCAAGCATCCAATTACGTAGTACGTATATACCATGCTCATTTTGTTCCATTCTTCGTTTTCTTGAATAAACTATTATATATATAGGCTCTGCTTTTGACCTGGTGCGTATTCCTTTCGTCTTAAAAAGAGGAATCGTTTTTTGCTATAAATATTCCTTTCGACTTGTTCAGACTCAATAAAATGTTACACTATTTTAGAACGGAAGGAATATTACGGTATATATAAACTTTGATTCCGCCGTGAGCAGTAGAAGGCTTTGGCCACGAAGAGCACACACATATTATTCGTATTCGGACAGGGAATCAATCAATTAGGTCCATGTTGATAGCAACTTGCAATCTCGGGCTGCGTTTAGTTCGTGAATTTTGAAAATTTAGTTACTGTAGCACTTTCGTTTTTATTTGATAATTAGTGTTCAATCATGGATTAATTAGGCTCAAAACGTTCGTCTCGTAATTTTCAACTAAACTCTGCAATTAGTTTTTTTTTATCTACATTTAATACTCCATACACGTATCACAAGATTCAATGTGATAGCTGCTGCAGCACTTTTTGAAATTTTTTTTGAAAACTAAACATACCCTCGATGATCCTTTTGTCGTGGTCATCATGCCAAGGACGATGGAGGCGAGGAACAAGAGGAGAAATACTATGTGAGACTTTCCCGTAGTGTGCTCTACACTAGCAGCTGCGGCTTTAAGAACGAACTTTTATTAGCACGAGCTTAGGCTGTGTTTAGTTCGTAAGATTTGGAAATTTAGCTAATGTAGCATTTTCGTTTTTATTTGATAATTATTGTTCAATCATAGATTAATTAAGTTCAAAACGTTTGTCTCGTGATTTCCAACCAAACTGTGCAATTAGTTTTTTTTTATCTACATTTAATGCTTCATGCACATATCGCAAGATTCGAGATAGCTAGCACTTTTTTAGAAAAGTTTTTGACTAAACACACCCTTATTCGTCGTGGCGAAGTGACCTGCCCAATCACGGCGCCGTACCCTGCCCTGACGTCAGCGCGCTTCACGCCGGGGCCGCGACGCGTGTCGAGGAGCCGGTGGGCGAGACAGTTGACTTCTCTCTCCCGATGCTCTCCGAGGCTGCGCTGTGCACGCCACGGAAAGATGTCAGTGTCTGAGACGCGCGTGACCACTCTGCCTTGTTTAGTTCCAAAAAATTTTCTCAAAAAGTGCTACAGTATCTATCACATCGAATCTTACGACATGTGCATGGAGCATTAAATATAGACGAAAAAAAAACTAATTGCACAGTTTGATTAGAAATTGCGAGATGAACGTTTTAAGTCTAATTAGTATATGATTGAACACTAATTAACAAATAAAAACGAAAGTGCTACGGTAGCCCAAAATCCAAAGTTCAGCCAACTGAACACGCGGTGGTGGGCGGCGCCCTAGATGAGGAATTCCAGCTACTCGCGGGCCGCGTCACGCGCGTGCAGGTTGGGCCGCCTGTGGCTCCGGACCGACCTCTCCTATGCTTGCCCAACTTTTAATTAGGGAGGCTGGGCCTTCTCAATCGTCGCCTCCATCCCACCCCGAGCCCGGGGACGTTGATGATCCGAGCTTCCTGGACGTCGTCGGCCATGATCTAACGGAGGGGGCGTCTGTCCAGACCTCGGCGGCGACTACAACTGACGAGTTCATCTCCATCTTCAAGAAGCCATTGTCGCAGCCGGTTCTCCCGTCGACCCCAAGGGCGCGGGTCACCAGATCGGAAAGGGCACGGGAGAGGGGTGACGAGGAGCTTGTCCCCAAACGGAGTGTGAGACTGGCGGCCAAGAGCAAGAACAGGGCGCCAAGACCTGGGGGGCACAGGCAAGGAAAGTAATGATGAAACGTTTAGATGTCGAGGTGGAGACGGAATTCCAAACAGCCTTCAAGTTGCCTCTCTCGCCCTCCACTCGGCAGGCAATGCAGGTCTTATTCCCTGGTAGGAAGCAGCGGCCGCCCAGCGGCGGATCTGGAAGGAAAAGAACAAGGGGACCTCTCAGATGTTGTTGGAGGTCGACATCGTCGCTCGGACACTGCACCAGGAAGCGGAGGAGTGGATCGAGGCTGGATTCTCCGGCCTTGCGGCGCTTTGCCCTTGTCGCAATTTTTAGTTCCAGTGTAATATTGGTGACCTTTGAATCCAATAGCTACGTTCCCTGTCAGCTGCTTGCGATGACCCCTCGCCACCGTCGGTGCTTGCCTTTGTTCTGTGTGTTTTAAACTCCATTTTCCTCTTAATGAAATACGGGCCGGTGGGTCCGATCGTGAAAAAAAGACAACACAAGCAGTCAAACAGGCTGAGATCATAGCAGCCTCTGCAAGTCACCCACTCAGGCACTTACCCTAACACCTGTGGCACACTTGGCATCGGAGTCTAGTTGGCGAAAAAGCCACCAACGCCGCGTTGGTGCTGACCTAAGCAGACACGGCCCGTCATTTTTTCCTATCCTACATAGAGAAGTTGCACTCAACAGCAGTACAGTACAACACCATAAATTCAATTTCCTGGTACCTTATACAAATATATTTTAATTTTGTTCTTTATTTCCTTCTGTCGAGAACGCACCATAGTCTATATAGTATATACAAAAGCTTGACACCGGCGTTGTAAGAGCGACTTTTTTGTCATTGCTGAAATGATCAAAGGTGTTGACATCTTGCATATCTGCTGATGCTCTACGGCTGACTATTGGGTGAATGGTGTAGTATCCCACTTCGATTGTGGAATGCATTATTGCAAAATATTTTAAAATTTAACCACTACCATCATTTACGTTTTCAAATTCAAATAGATCTATTGTGAGACAGGTGGGAGTAGACCCGTCAGATTAGAGCGAAATTTCCACGTCTAGCCGTTCGTTCAACTTGGAGCGAGCTATTGCGCGCCGCCACTAAAATTACGCGTTTGAAGTTTCCGTATCCAAACGCACCAATGCAATGCGTATGCGTATCAACCTGTTCCAAGATTGGATAATCAACAATGCCCCTCAAAATCTCCGTCAGCAGCTTCGAGTTAGAAATGTTTGGTAAAACCACACGCTTCAATCGATCAGACATCAGTCAGACTGACAAAACTTCAAAAGTAGGTGCAAATTTGAACAAAAGAAAACTGCGTGCAATTCTTATTGTATCAATAATGTACCATCGTGAATGGATCAAGTCTATCCATGGCATGGGAATTTTACTTCGCCACTCTTCGAGAGGGTCACGCTCTGAACCGTCTCACATTCTCGCGATCAGCTAGTGGCAAATTTGTTCATCACTCGTGAAAACAGATATTTAAGATTTTTGTTTAGGTACATTTGTATCCACCTAATTTCATATATGCCGGGGTATATTTGGATCAAATTAGGTTAATTTTACATACTAATCTAACTCAACACATGTAGATTGTGATGCATACAAGTGTAGCTAAATAAAATTAGTCGTGGCCTCGCAAGTGTTCACCAATTATAAGCGCATCTCCAAGAGTTGTTTGAAAATTTATTGTCGTCTAAAACATCATTTAAAGAGTCATTTGAGTAAAATCGCTTTATATGTCTTTGTATCCTCCAACAACTTTTTCATATCTTGTGCGTACTCTAAAGATCTATTCGCGTTCTCTATCTTTGCCTTGCAAGAATTCCGAATAGATGTTATCTATATTTGGAGATCAATTAAAGAAACTATTGAAGGATTTTTTTAACCAAAATCACTATTCCTACAAATTAAAAAAAGACTAGAAAGAGTCCTTGGAGTTGCTTTAAGATCTGTTACCTTTAATTTACTACAATTGTTCCCTAAGTTTGAGGCCTGGATTCATAGAGATCAGTGTATATGAATTGTTCTTTTCAAGAATTTTAAGAAATAGAACATTCATGGGAAAGTGGAATACGCATACGGTGCGAAGAAAGGCACAGCAACGGACGAGCAGCGTCGTCGACGCGTGGAAAGATCGCTCCGGCCTACGGCGAAGGAGATCCGATGCCTATGCGCCCCCCACCCCAGTCTTCCTTTTATTGCTTAGCCTGCAAGAGAATCATGGCCTACCACAACTGACGGCTGAGATTCCCTGCGAACCACGCCACACGGTGTTGGTCTATGGCTCAACGCGCAGAAACCTCACCACTTGGGACCACGACACTGACAAAGCGGGCCCACGGCACTGAACGAAGAAACGGTCCATTTCCTTCCGCGCCTTTGCGGCCGGCCGATCCGGTGCGCCGTGCGCGTCAGGAGCACTAGAAGATTCGGAGGCAACTGCCATCGCAGAGCAACACTACTCTCACTGACGTGTGAACCCAGACACACCCTGGGACCACGCGTCATACATGCCATATGACTCGTCTCTTCTCCTCCGCGCGTAAGTAAACCGACCTCCGTCACACGCGGGGTCTAGAAGGACCTGCAAGGAACCAGGGGCTTCACTGACAAACGGTCCTACCTGGACCTGGACCTGGACCCACCGGTCATGCAGCAGGCAAAGTATCCGCGTCGAAGAAATGTCCTAGCAGCCTCATCCGTTCCTCTCCCGAATCCCGATATATAAGACGAACACGAGCCTTGTGCCGTCCAAACAATCTCAAGTCGTCGATCCAGCACAAGCAGCAGCACACAAACCGATCGATCTCGGAGAACCAACCAAACCAATCACTCCATCTTGACTTTCTCTCGTCTCCGCCGCCGATCCAGACAAGAAAAATCCATCCACGACCGCGAGCTCACCCCCCGGCCATGTCGGCGACGCGGACGCTTGAGCTGACGCTGATCTCGGCCAAGGACCTCAAGGACGTGAACCTGATGTCCAAGATGGAGGTCTACGCCGTGGTGTCGCTCTCCGGGGACCCCCGGTCGCGGCAGAGGGTCCAGGCCGACCGCATCGGCGGCCGCAACCCGACCTGGAACGCCACGCTCCGCTTCGCCGTCCCGGCGACCGGCGCGGGTTCCATCCACGTCCTCCTCCGCGCCGAGCGCGCCCTGGGCGACCGCGACGTCGGCGAGGTCCACATCCCGCTCTCCGAGCTCCTCTCCGGCGCTCCCGACGGCCCCGTCCCGGCCAAGTTCGTCGCCTACCAGGTCCGCAAGATCTCCTCCGGCAGGCCCCAGGGAGTCCTCAACCTGTCGTACAAGCTCGGCGAGGCCACCCAGTCGGCGGCGGCCAACGGCTACGCCCCCGCCCAGTCCGCATACACCCAGGCCGCCGCGTACCCGCCTCCCCTCCGCGTACCCGCCGCCGTCCGGCAAGGCTGACGCGTACGCGCCTCCCGCCGCGTACCCGCCTCCTGCAGGCAAGGCCGACGCGTACCCGCCCCCTGCCGCCGCCTACCCGCCGGCAGCCAAGGCCGACGCGTACCCACCTCCCGGCGGCGCGTACCCGCCCACCGGTGGCAAGGCCGACGCGCCGGCGACCGCTTACCCGCCCTCATACGGCTACCCGCCCGCGGCAGGCAAGCCGGCGAAGGCGGGCGAGCCGGTGACGGCCTACCCTGCTGCCGGTCCCAGCACGGCGGCGCCCTACGCCGCTCCTCCGCCGCAGTACGGCGGGTACGGGTACCCGCCGCAGCAGCCCGCCGGGTACGGCTACCCGCCCCCGCCGCCGCAGGCCGGGTACGGGTACGGGTACCAGCAGCAGGCCGTGAAGCCGCAGAAGAAGAAGAACAACTTCGGGATGGGGCTCGGCGCCGGGCTGCTCGGAGGCGCCGTCGGGGGGCTCCTGATCGGGGACATGATCTCGGACTCGTCGGCGTATGATGCCGGGTTCGACGACGGCGGTGGCTTCGATGGCGGCTTCGATTTCTAGAGCGCTCCGATGAGTGGTGACGTGAGGTCTTTCGTTTTCGATTTGCGTTTGTGATTTGTTTCGTTTTGTACGCAACCTAATTGTCAGTACCAAATCAAATTATGCATCTGATATAGTATATGCTTATTGTAAATACTCGTATGAGGCTATGATGCCGAAACCTGAAAGTGTGAAATTATATGAAGTTTTTTTTTTTGGCTGAAAGACGCGTTACAATTCTTCAACTTTTGAGAAGCGCCATTGCGAATCGTCTAATCGGAGATAGGCCATTATAATTCCCATCTTCACTTAACCATGTCATTTTTTACACCGTGCATCAAGTATCGGCCTCCTCTGTTAGTCTACACATTGTCGGTCTCATCACTCTTTCTCCGTCCTGTTCCCCATCCATCCACGAACCCTAGCTCGGCGATTTGGTGGTGGCGGCAATGGCGATCGAAGGTGGCGAGAGACCGGAGGAGGTGGCGAGGCAAGGAAGCATGCGTTGGTGGTCGGGGATCTTAGAGGCGGCGGCGCATGCATTCTCCTCTGGATCCTCGGCAGCCAACGCCGCTTTCTTGCCCTACCACTCCTCCTGGTTCTCTCGTCAGCCTTCAGATTGCCGCCACCACCAAATCGCCGAGCTAGGGTTCGTGGATGGATGGGGAACGAAGACGGAGAAAGAGAGATGAGACCGACGCCAACGCATGACTAACGGCGAGCCTCCTGTATACCTACGGTGCTTTGACGAGTTGGCCTCGTGCGGTTCGGGTCAGTAGAAAATGGCATAGTTCAAATGGGCTGAGAATTATAATGGCCTATCTCATTAGACGATTTACCATGGCGCTTCTCAAAAGTTGAATTGTAATGGCCTCTTTCAAAAAAAAAAACACACAATAACACTCTTGACTAATGTTTGCTAAATATCTGTTCTTAAATTATATCTACAAAACTTCTGCCCTGCATGGTTCCAAATCTCGCTTGCATTGATGCATTTTTGCAAATGCGAGTAGATCATTACGCACCTTGACTTTTAAATCGAGTCATTTATGCACGTTCTTAAAATAGGACACCTTTGACTTGCAAGTTCAAGCTGGAGCAAAACGAAAGGCCCGGCACCTCACACGCCAGGGAGTTGGACAAAAGCACCCAACCGGACGAACCCAAACTCCCGAAGGTACGTCGTTATCAGCATCTGCGAAGTACCCAAAACACTCTCCCACTCCAGATTTTTGGAAGGATAGAAAAAAAAACCATCTCCAGCCATTTTCAATTTTACCTTTTAATCTTTTAGCATTTGGAAAAAACCTCCTTACGCGTAAAGATGCGCGGACTCCAGCTAAGCGCATCTCTCTCCCATGGAGATCTAAGCGTCTACCAATCTATAGGTAGAAGGACATGTAAAGAATAAAGAGTAGAAAAGAATCACCGATACAAATGTATAAGAGAGAAAAAATATATAAAATTGGTTAAGATAATTTAAAAATAGTATAGGATTCCTGATATAAAATTATCTTCTAAAGTGAATTATTGGAAACTGTTGGAGATGATCTTATTTCTTTCTCATAATACTTTTTGACGAGTTGGAAAACTTCATGATTTTGAGAAGAAAATATTGGGAACTCTTGAGATGCCGTACGCAGGGTTCTATCAAGATAATTGATAATCCAGTTGAAGGGTCTACATCTACCATCCATTTTTTTTAACCAGGAAAGGGCTCTAACCTTTTTTCATGCTAGTAATATAAAGTGCTACTCCTTGCTATATTCATTATCTTAGAAGCATTCCACAAAGCAGGCTCTACTGGCATGGAATAACCGATCTGCCTTGCACGAACAACTTTGATTGATTGAGGGCAGGGCCAATGGAAGCGGACGTTCTATAGTGGTTTCAGGCAGAACAAACGCCACATGATGGAATAGCATACCGAGACAATTTGTCTTCCAACGCGAGCAGTAAAAGAGCAGCCTCGAACTTCAATTGTATATATTAATATATTTTGTTACACTGAGATCGTATACCAATTTTGTATATCTGTTGTAGCCTATGCTACCCGCATCATCAAGGAACTACTCTCTTGCTCTAACGCTTGCTTCAATGTTCTTGAGCTTTTCGTTGGACCAGGGCAGTGTTGCTTCTGCAGGCCACTGGGGCCTTGTTTAGATTGCAAGTTTTTTCACTTTCTATCTATCACATCAAATTTTTGGACACATGCATGAAGTATTCAATGTAGATAAAAAATAACTAATTACACAGTTTGATTGTAAATTACGAGACGAATCTTTTGAGCCTAGTTAGGCCATGATTGAACAATAATTGTCAAATACAAACGAAAGTGATATAGTATCAAATACTGATTTCTAACCTCAATCTAAACAAGGCATGCTCAAATGACATGAATGCCTTGGTCCAGGTGGAGTTTGTGGCAGCACGCCCCGTTGGCGCATTAGACAAGGGCTTGAATTGATGGTTTTTTTAAAAAAAAAGAATTGACACATTTGTTAAAGGTGGCAATCAGTGTTAGTTTGGCACGGCCTTAACGTTGGCTTTTGCTCGGCACTGGCCAACGAAAAGCAGCACACCGTATTTCTACCCATCCGTTCTAAATTATAAGTCGTTTTGATTTTTTACACCAATTTTATTAGACATCTAAATATAATAATATGTCTAGATATATACCAAAATGGATGAATCAAACAAGTCAAAACGACTTATAATTTGAAGGGTCTTTTACTTGTATGCCATTAAAAAAGATGGTCTAATCGTCTATATTCCTAAAAAGTTCGATCTATCGTCAGTGTCCAAGCTCGAAAAACTTCTCTCTCACGTCATTCTGTCTATTTGCAGCACTAACGGTGTTAAATGTGGGTGGCAAAGGACTTGAATGCCCTTGAAACTTTTTTTCTCATTTGCCACTGCCTCGTGGGAGCCATCTGTGTGGTAAATTGTCTGAGCTTGAGCGGTGAACCTTTACGCTACCGGTACATGCATGCACAAATTGCAACGACTTTTAATCTGACACAACATTAGCGGATGGATACAAACAGAGATGCTGGCTATGGAGTAGTAGTAGTACGTATTACACAAGCCTAAACTGTACGAAATGTTTAGAGATGTACAGTAGTTACCCGTAGCATTGTATAGAGAAACCAGAGACATTTGGCCGTGTACGTCAGCAAGCAATGCCAATCAATCAAAGTCAAACACATAATTCGCGATGAGTGCGATCTAAGGCATGGTGGCGCGCTCGACTCGGGCGGAGCAAATCATCGACTACTAGTGCAAAATAGCTACGGCTTGCTCTTGTCGATCACCACGGACGACGGAGTTCAAGATCCGTCTGCGTCTGCGGCATCCCAAATCCGCTCGCAAGTACGCATCGCCTCCGCCGCGCCCATTTCCGTCTTTGCATGGCACGTTTCGCCTGAGATGAAACGCCGGTCTCGGCTAACGAACGACCGAAGCGGCCGGCCGCCGCGAGGGCCCACCGTTGGCGTGATAGAAGGATAAGCGAATACTTACGTCTGGCTGGTTTGGAGCAACGAGCCGAGGACGTGGTAGGCATTGCAGTCCATCACCAACTCTCGGAGCGGCTCGGCGGGCAGGCGCAAGAACGCTTCGAGCCCGCGCAGCAACGGAGGCACCGGAGACGGACTAGCGCGGGGCCGAAAGCACGCCTGTACCACGAAGTGCCCGTATGTGTCCGTGGACCACGCCATGAGATTGTCCATGATGAGCGCCCTGATGCGGTCCTCGAGCTGATCGTGGTGGCCTCTCTTGAAGAGTTCCTGCAAGAAGACGCCTGCTGCGGCATCGAATCTTACGGCGGAAGGAGGTTTCCCGGCTCGCCCGTTAGTTTCTCCAGATTGAGAACGAACATTAGGAGTGACGATCGAGAAGAACCACGCAGTGAATGAACTCATGTTGTAATGGTATATGCTTAGCTCTCACCCGTATTGTTTCTTAGAGATCTCAACGGCATGGGTCAAGATGGTGTCCTCGAGATCAATGCCGAGCTCATGCTTCGTCGTGTTCTCTAGGCATAGCATCACGCTCATCCCCCCGAAATAGGACGTGGCCATGTCGCGAAAGCGGGGGACGGCGAGCTCATGGGTGAAAATCTAAACGGAAGTTCATCAGAAAAACGCCATCAGTAGCAATACGTATGTCGTCCTTCAGGGCTGTTGTGGGTAGCTACATTACATACCGAGCAACATATGTAAGGCAACGTGGTGACGAAATGCTCAGGCAGTTTCGGGCCCTTGCTCTGTTCCATCATCCATCCCTCGATTAGGCACCTGAATAGCTGTTGCAGTACTTCGGGGAAGTTCCGCGTCGCCACCCTGACGAGCACCCTCAGAGCTGTCTCCCTGCACCGTGCAAAAGCAAAACAACAGCAAATCAAACACACACAGATGAGCTCTGAGCTCGCCGTTGTCTTGATCGAGCAGGAAGGCCAACCAATCCGAGCTCGTCGGGTTAAATCGTAAGGGCCGGGTTCGTCTCGACATCCTAAAGTGCTCGACGGTTTGGGCGCCAGACCACTAGGCCCGACGCGCGCACCGATCACACACCGGAGAGTGTTCGGTCGTTCTTTGGTGGAGTTGCCGCCCAGCAGCAGCGGCGCGGCCAATGGCCGGCGTGAAGCGTAGACTGCCGCTGCCGCCCAGGGACGATAGACGGAGGCATGCGGGTTGAAGACGCCATCATACCCGAGCGCGGAGAAGAGAGCGGTGGAGCCATGCTGAGGCAGGTACTACCTCTGGCTGCTGATGAAGTTCGGCGTCGACGGCCGGTGCGGCACCGAGGTTTGGGTGCTGGGCATGGGGAAGTTGAGGAGCGCGTCGTAGCTCGAGATGTTGCCGTTGGTAGGGATGCCGACGCGCGTGGAGCTCTAGTCCCCGATGTCGCCACCCTGATGCGACCGTGGGTTCATCTGCAGCGGCGGCGTGGCCTGCTCTAGAAGCAGAGGCTGCCGTGGCTGTCACCACGAGGAGGAGGAGGGGAGGTTAGGAAACTGC